CAGCCGAACCTGGCAATCCTCAAACTCTGGATTGTCAAGTCACATTGAAGCCTAACTTTACCCTGCAGATTCTCTTAGTACTGTGCGGAATATGCACCGAGTAAAACTTATGGTCAAGCCTTTACATCACGGACCACGTTTATGATCAAATTCCCTTACTAATGGCCAACTTTCGATTGTATCCGCGGCACCTCTCGCTCTTCTATCCATAATGCTAATTCTAATACTTTCTAGTGTCCTAGTCTCTTATGTGCCGACTCTCAAGTAAATTTTTCACATTAAAGCTTGGTACACAAGAGTCTAGGCCATAATAAAATCATAGTCTTGGCGCAAGAAGCAAGAAGGAGTACGAATAGGCTTCACTAAATCTGCTAAAAAGGGTACACATGGACTAAACTTGGATAAACTATTAAGAAATTGTGATAGTGAAGGGGTATTACGAGGATATAGAATAAGTGAACACATCAGGACCGAAAGAGAGATCACACAGCTATTTAGAAGACAATTTGTCAAGGGATTAACTTCACTTGACTTGTTGACGAGCTGTAATATGAGATTTAGAATGGCAAGGCTTACTGACGATGCCGACTACGAGGTCGGTGAAACCCCTGAAAATATAACAAGTCCATGATCCGACTTTGAAAATTATTAGGCATACTATAGACTCCGGACAAGGTGCGTTCTACTAGGTTGTCCTGACAATAGGAACAAGTTGCGAAAACAAGGATAAACAATTTCTAAACAAGATTAATCCTTTTATAATAGCCGTTTGTGCAATAGTAAGTAGATGAGTAAGTTATGAATGGCTATAACACCAAAAATCAATTAATTAATTATGCCTTCAAATAAGGCGAAATTAAAAAAAATTATATTAAATTATGCAATGATAGTAATAATACATTTAATGGTTAATAAACTCTATATTGAAGAAGTTCTATATACTTATTTTTTGCGTATTTAGTAGTCAGTGCTCAAAGATTTGTAAATGATGCCGAAAATATGATAACTCCATCCAGTATCACTGGTAGAATTGAACACATTTAAGAAATAATAATAATTTTAGCTAAATCCCCTAATACATATAAACAACCTAATGAAGAAAAGCTAGCATTTTCCAAGGATATTGACGCTGATAGGGTTTAAAGATTCTTTAAAAAATATGATGTATTATTATACAAAAATTACTAACTCAAAAATTATTAAACTAATCACCTCTGCCTACCCTGAGATAATATGTCTTGTCAGTAATTACTCATACATTTCCTGATAGCATAAAATATCTTTGGAAAGCTAAATGGGTAAAGAATCCCACTACGAGCTAAATTTGGATCAGCCTTTTTTGAATTCATCTAGCTGTTACAATTTCGCTACCAGTGACCCTTTTATGACGATAACTGTGATAAAATAGGCTTCAACTAGGGTAGTAGCTGGCGTAAGACTGCTATCAGGGCGCGCCAACACCAGCCACCAAGATTAGGGCTCAGTCAACTATTGCAAGAAAATTAGGTTCAGTTGCAAGATTGAGCTTGATACTGTGACTCACGAGGCTGAGCATTTATTATTGCTGCCAATGATAATGCTGGCTAAGAAGCCAGAGCATCCGTCAGACTGACAACAGATGCGATTTCAGGCAATGGAAAGCTTACGGTGGAATTCTTGATTGCGGAATTAGTAGCATTTAGTGACGTTTTTCGACTATTACCAGTTGGAATATTGTCTCCATTATCCTTACTATCTACACCTGGCTGGCTAGTCTTTCCTACATATTTATTCACTAAACTCACAAGAGTTAAACTTGAGGGAGTCATAGAGCTCAAAGTTGGATTCGTAGTTGACGAAGTAGTATGTGTCGTTCCATTAACTGAATTTACAGAAGATGCATCACCCGATAATCGATTGCAACCAACAACCATCCGAGCAGAGGGATTCGAAGAGAGGCAGGCCGAATCAGCTGAGCTGGATATATCACAATGGCTAATAGGAACTGGGGACAGGAAAGGCGAACTGGGTTGAAGCATCGGTACAGGAATTAAGCTGGGATAATTGCAGGCTGATTGGAAGACACCTAACAAAAGATGAAATAAAAAACCGAATGATTAATAAATGTAAAGCAATAAATAAGTAAGATGTAATCAAAATAAGAAAGAGACACAGTTCATCAGGAAATAAATTTTTATGATATGTGGATGATGGTTAGATGAACAGGATAGATGGGAAGACGAAATTGACCATCGAGTTAGAAAAGGAAGGTGGTTTACTTTTTCTTGATGTTTAAGTCAGTAAGAAGGGGATCAGATTAGGTTAAGATGTATGTAGGAAACCCACAAGATTAGGTTTCCGCATGAATTTGTTTTTAAACCACACTTGTTGGGTTCAGTTTGGAGGTATGAAGTCTATGATAATCAGGAGTCTGCGTCTAGCAGATGTTAAGTATCAACACCAGGAACTGAGGAGACTTAGGCGAATTCTGGTTGAGAATTATTATCCAGGAGGGTTGGATGACAAATATTTTAGAATATTTGAATCTTGCCCACGTCTTGTAGAAACCTCAAACGTGCTTTTAAGCAATGGCGTGTATGTGCAAAAATAGAATATTTTAACCAGATCACATTCTAGCGGCAAGCATTCAAAGTACATATGTCTTTTTAAAACAAATGGATAGCTTTTATTTCCAATTTGAACGAAGAGTATCAATAAAGCGAAGCTGCAAATGAAGCTAACATTGGAAAGTATTCTTGAGAGTATTTCCGTAGTGCTTATATGTAACTCACCTAATATTTCTAAGCGTAGATTATCTAAATTATAATTACTTAACTTCTCCAATTATCCCCAAATGACAAATAAAGCCCAGTATTGTAGTTTATTGATTAGGAACTGGAAATCCAAAAGAAGAGAATATTTTACATTGTGCTTTTGACATTCGAAAATATATGATCTATACGCTATGTGCGTTTTGTTTTATGATAAATGTCTAGAATTTACGAATCCAATTATAGTTGAGGATTTTAGCCCCTTATGAAATTAAATCAAAATCAGTTCCGAATAGAAAACAGTATAATAAACTTTACACAAAAAGTGTGTAAATAAATAGATTATGAAGGGGACCTTCATTTCGTATGAAAGTGCTTGAATAAGAGATTCGTTAGTCGATCTCACCAGATGAGGACGGATGAATCTCGTTGTAATGTAGCCGTTTGGATTTTATACGATATTCATGTTGACTTAGTCCACGGGACTTCTTCCCTCATTTCAGGTGAAAACGTGCTGAGCTTACGTTCATCATCTGATGGACATCATCAGAGCTAGGTGTCATTCTTGTAAAAGGCTTTCGTTAACACTAGGCCAAGAAGACTATCCGG